GTTGTTTGGCGGGTCCGGGCTGGGGATTCGAACCCGCCACCTTAGGTGTACGTGGCTGGCGCCTTAGCCAGTTGAGCTATAGGCGCCGAGCCAGTTTTTTGTATTTTTAGTAGAGAACCGGCTCTCACTCTGTCTCAGGCTGGTCTCAAACTTGTGAGCTCAAGCAATCCACCTGACTTGGCCTCCCACAGTGCTAGGATTACAGGCATGAGCCACCAGTCTGGCCTGAAAGGCTATGTTGCCCTGGTAGAGTGCCATAGTGTCACAGGTCACAGCAACCTCAAATTCTTGAGGTCACATGATTCTCTCGCCTCAGCCTCCCAAGTAGCTGGTACTATAGGTCCCTGCCACAAAGCCCAGCTATGTTTTGGTTGTAGTTGTCATTGTTGTTTGACAGGGTTTGAACTCACCAACTCCAGTGTATGTGGCTGGCACCCTAGCTGCTGAGCTATAGGCACTGAGCCAGGCCTGAAAGTCTTTAATATTATACATCACGTAAAATGAAAAATTATTTTTGATTATACTTATACCTAATTAAATAGATACGCTGTGGGGCTGGGTGTGGTGGCTCATACCTATATTCTTAGCACTCTAGGAGGCCGAGGCAGGTGGATCGCCTGAGGTCAGGAGTTCCAGAGCTGCTTAAGAGTGAGAACCAGTCTCTAAAAATAGCCAGGCATTCTGGCTGGTGCCTATAGTTCCAGCTATTTGGGAGGCTAAGGCAAGAGGATCGCTTAAGCCTAAGAGTCTGAGGTAGCTGTGAGCTGTGATGCCAGAGCACTCTACTGAGGTGATAAAAAACAAGAGCCTGCCTAAAAAAAAATAGATACAATGTGGAACAAATTGAAACAAATATACCATAAAATTTACTTAACTGATGTAATGATAAATGATTTTTGGTTATAGAATTACAAGTAATTCAGGCTCAGTGCCTGTAGCTCAGCAGCTAGGGCTCCAGCCATATACACCAGGGCTGGTGGGTTTGATCCGGCTGGGCCAGCTAAAACAACAACAACAACTGCAACAAAAAAAATAGCTGGGCGTTGTGGCAGATGCCTGTAGTCCCAGCCGCTTGGAAGGCTGAGGCGAGAGAATTGCTTAAGCCCAAGAGTCTGAGGTTGCCATGAGCTGTAACACTATAGCACTCTACTCAGGGCAACAGCTTAAGACTCAGTAAAAAAAAAAAAAAAAGAAAATTGCTTTGTATAGTCTGGATGGATATTTGCAAGACTGTTTGTAGCCCTACTGTTACCTGTGAAGATCACAGGACCCAAATCTAAAATAGCAGGTTACTTTTGTGGGTATGTTATTTTACTTAATTTGAATTTTTCTTTACAATGTCAGAAATACAGCATAATGAAAAGGAAACTTGAATTCTACCCTAAAGTTCCCTATAAGAACTAATCTTCCAGCTGAGTGCCTGTGGCTCAAGCCTCTAAGGCGCCAGCCACATACACCTGAGCTGGCGGTTTGGAATCCAGCCCGGGCTGCCAAACAACAATGACAGGAACAACTAAAAAATAGCCTGGTATTGGGGCGGGCACCTGTATTCCCAGCTACTTGGGAGGCGGAGGCAAGAGAATCGCTTAAGCCCAGGTGTTGGAGTTTGCTGTGAGCTGTAATGCCACGGCTATCTACCCAGGGCGACAGCTTGAGGCTCTGTGTCAAAATAAATAAATAAATAAATAAAAGAACTAATCTTCCATTGCTTTGGCCTTTGATGCTTTTCCTCCTAGAGATATCTAGCTTTGTCTTTCAATTATGAAATTATATGATCAGTATAAAGGAAATAAAGTAAAATTTGCATCTGATCAGTTTTGTTTCTTGGTGATAGGCAACAAGTTAGTTTTAGGGACAAAGTTAAGGAGATTGGCTAAAATGAATACTGTATTTCTCAAGTTATACTTTCTGTTCCTATAATTTATTTATTTATTGAGATAGAATCTAATTTTGTTGTCCTCAGTAGAGTACCGTGGAGTCATAGCTCTGAGAAACCTCAAACTCCTGGGCTCAAGTGATCCTGTTGTCTCAGCTTCCTCGCCACAATCCCTGGCTGTTTTTAGAGACGGGGTCTCCCTGTTGCTCAGGCTGGTCTTGAACTCCTGAGTTCAAGCAATCCACCCCCCTTGGCCTCCCAGAGTGCTAGATTACAGGTGTGAGCCACTATACCTGGCCCTGTTCTTACAATTTTTTTTTTAGAGACAGAGGTTTGCTTTGTCGCTCTTGGTAGAGTGTTGTGCTGTCACAGCTCACAGCAACTTCCAGCTCTTGGGCTTAGCCGATTC